AATTATGTATCTTTGTACCTTTAAGAAAGAGCGGGGCCTCCTAACACAGGTATTATACTTAAAAGGAGACCCCAGCCACTTGCAACAATTATGTTAATTTAAAAGATACTGAATAAATGTTTTTTCATTTTCATTTTCATTTTTCAAACTTGTCTTTAGCACGACCAGTGTACTTGTCTTCATCATTATCATTTCAGCCATAGGACGTCCACTGCTGAACTGAGGCCTCCCCCAATGATTTTCGGTTGGTAGCGGCCTGCATCCAGCGCCTTCCTGCTAAGTACTTATGAGGTTTCTGTACATCTTGTAGGTGGATGTCTTATGCTGCCTACAATTAATTTGTATCTACATCTACTGCACTGGCAGATGCAGCGTGGGATATCCATCCAAATAATAGATAGATGATCTTATAAAAATAATAACTAACAACAATAAAGCTCTGGGTGCAGGCCGCTTCTATCTGACCAATCTGGAAATCACTAATGATGATGATGACATGCCCATAACAATCCATGCAAGCTACTACTCTATTGACTTGCCTCTACGTCAGTCAGTAGCATTACAAAAACCTATTCTTTCAGTTGCCCGGACTGTTTGCCCTGGAACCGAAGATGACTTACGACTACGATTTCCTCGCTGAAAATGACAACTTGACGAACCAACACACCCTGGACAAGGCGGCACGGTTGACCGCCGGCAAACTCCTCGGAGGAACTACCTCAATGATGCACGCCCCATACCTAAGAGGAAACCCGCTGGACTTCAACCGCTGGGCCGAAGCAGCTGGTGACGACTCTTGGAACTACGACAATCTCCTCAAATACTTCATCAAACTGGAAAGGTTAGAAGACCGTGACATCTTACACTCCAACACAGGCAGCCTTCACGGAACCAAAGGACCAGTCGGCCTGACCAGGGAACCCAATGAACTGAACAACAACTACTTCAAATCGATGGACGAAATTGGATTGAAATACGCCCTTGATATCAGCGGCAACTCAACTCGTGGGGTCACTGATCCTCTCCTTATGATCTCAGGTGGAAGGAAGCAGCACACCGCCAAGACCTACCTCAGCCCTGCTAAGGATCGGCAAAACTTATACGTTTACAAAAGTACCGTGGTCACCAAAATTATTTTCGATGACAACAATACCGCCACCGGCGTGGAAGCCCTTACGACTGATAACGAAACGGTAACCTTCCAAGTGAATAAAGAAGTCATCGTTTCAGCCGGTGCGATCAGGTCTCCCCAACTGTTGATGCTGTCAGGCGTTGGACCACAGGATCAGCTCGAAAAGTTCAACATTTCAGTCGTATCTGATTTGCCTGTTGGCCAGACCCTGCGCGACCGTGTTGCTGTGCCTCTAGCTTATAAGATGCAGGCTTCCAACGTGACAATCCCAGCCTCGAATTACTTCAAGTTCCCTAACCCAGTCACAGTGGGTTTCAAAGCCCTTAACGACTCACAGTCCCAGCCTGACTTCCAGGTCATCACTCTTGTCTTCCCTCACGACCAGTCCACAGGCTTGTCTATGATTTCTTCATTCGTCTTCAAATATGAGAACGCAATAACTGATGCTATAATTGATGCCAATACTGGTCACGAACTCTTCATGGCTTTCATTGGAAATGGTCATCCCGAATCTACTGGTCAGCTGTTGCTAAAAAGCACTGATCCTTTAGAACAGCCTGACATTAATTTGGGTCTTTTCAGCACTGCATCTGATATAGATGATATGGGTGCATACCTGGAGTACTTTGCACAGATTGGAGAGACCTCGCACTTCAAGAACGTTAGTGCTGAGCTGGTGGAATTTGATTTGCCTGAGTGCAGCAACTACACGACTGGGTCTTCGGACTACTGGAAGTGTTACGCTACAAGTATGTCGGTGACTTTCTGGCAGTATATGAGCACCTGTTCCTTGGGGTCTGTGGTGGACTCTGAACTGAAGGTGAAGGGAGTCCAGAACTTGAGGGTGGTGGACGCGAGTGTCCTGCCATATTTCACTTCTGGAGAGCCTGTGCCAGCCATTATTGCTGTTGCTGAAAAAGCGGCTGATTTGATCAGACGAAGAAAGTAAAAGTGGAGTCGTTGAGTGTTTTCTTGTTATTTTTTCCTTTATTTTTGTTATTGTTATCTTTACAATAGTGTGAGTAATTAAGTTCCGTGAATTTTTTAAATCAACTAATACAAATAAGCAATGCCTGTTAACTAGTTTTTTTTAATTAAATGTTATCTTAAAACTAAAACGTGAGTTTTGTTATTGTATTATTTATCTAAATTTATTCGGAACGTGTAGGGTAATTTGTCTTTAGCTCTCAGTGCTGATTAAAAATGAAAGAGATACAGAGGCATCGGATCTTTCAGCGATTACTGCAACAGGTTACACAATGTGGATATTTGTCACTGTGACGCCACTTTATACGGGGTGTATGAAACACACAGTGATCACAGTCTCACTTTCATGTTACTCAGGAAAACGAATAAAGTTCCTTTTTTGGAGTCTATTCCTTATTTCAGCCAATTGACGTCCACTGGTGGACAAAGGCCTCCCCTAAGGATTTCCACAATGCGCTCCTGTGTCCTGCGCTGCCCGCATTTAGATTCTTCCCGCGACCTTCTCCAAATCATCCAATAGGTTGACCACCTGGCACCTAGTAGTCATTGTAGCCTGTGGTCGCCACTCAAAATCTTTTCTGTCCCATCGGATTTACACACACCCTATATCTTTCCAAAACCATACATTCTGCCGAAGCCTTCAACACATTTTGCGCGAATATTTTCAAAGTTTAAAATTTGAGATCCGATTCAAACTCCGGTATCGATGGATATCTCGCGATTACGTCAAATAAATCGATTCTAACGCTGGAACTCGCCGGATTACTCGTGTTAAACTCACCATTTCTAGTTTATTTTTGTATTATATCGTTTTGAGCATCGATATTATGTATTATATCGTTTTGAGAATCGACTGTACCTAATGGTGGCGATCACTTGTGTATTAATTTCACCTGAAAAAGAAATGTCCAAAAAGATTTTGATGTGTTGAAAAGGGACTAAAATAGTATTTAAACTAAAAACGGTTAAAAAAAGGAGAAGGGGAGAAAACGAACTATTTAATTAAAACTACATAGGAACATGAATAGTTATTACTCGTATGGTTATTAAGGTTGCTTTTGATAGGTACAAGACATCATTCAGGGACTGGGTAGTCAATGCGAGAAAACGCTCAACGGTTGGAATGTGCAGGTGTCAAAATGTCCATACGGACTGGTTGTTAGTGTGGCAGAAAGTATGAACGTCAAAAAGTCCCAGTGCCAAAATGTACATTGTTACCATGGTTACAATGGTTTAGTGACAAATGGTACACATCACAAAATACAAGTACAACAAAAGGTGTGATTGATAAAATGATCGACTGATATATTGTGCTCATGAATAAATTAATAAAATTAAATGTCAAAATGTTCAATGTTCTTGTAGTCTAGTCAATAAAGTTTTTTTGGACATTTTTACCTTGATGCATTTAAACACGTGTTCACGTTAGCTATTATACAATAAGACGCTTGTTCAAATAAACCCGAAGACATTTTAACTTCAGATCATTTTAACCATTGCTCATTTCGACGTTCATACTTTTTGCCACACTAACAGCCGGTCCGTATGGACATTTTGACACCTGCACATTCCAACCGTTGAGCGTTTTTTCGCATTGACTACCCAGTCCCGGGGGGACCAACTTTTTTCCACTTTGGAAGCGTCTGTCACGCAAACTATTCGGTTTAGAAAAAAAGTATTTTAGAAACCTCGATATCATTTTTGAAGACCTATCCATAGATACCCCACACGAATGTGTTTGATGAAAAAAAAATATTTCAGTTTCAGTTCTAAGTATGGGGAGCCCCCAATATTTATTATTATTTTTTTATTTTTGCATCAAAATCTTAATGCGGTTCACAGAATACATCTACTTACTAAGTTTCAACAGTATAGCTCTTATAGTTTCGGAAAAAAATGGCTGTGACATACGGACGGACAAACGGACGGACGGACGGACGGACAGACAGACAGACAGACAGACATGACGAATCTATAAGGGTTCCGTTTTTTGCCATTTGGCTACGGAACCCTAAAAAAACGGTATAAAAGCATCGAAATCCCGTTTTTCACTAACGTTTGATCCTAGGGGGATTCAAACCTGTATTCATTGGCATACTTAATATTCAGTTAAATCAATTAAATTATCCAATAATAAAATCATATTAAGTATAACATAACTTGGCTCTTTTTCATTCATGTCATTTTAACTTTCAACATAATATTTTTGTCGTTCCAAGTAATTAAAATGAAACATTAATTGTCACATTATAAAAAATCGGCGATATGCGAGTCGGATGACGTACTGATGGTTCCGTATGCACATAAATCTAAATATATATAACTCAAAGGTGACTGACTGACTGACTGACATAGTGATCTATCAACGCACAGCCCAAACCACTGGACGGATCGGGCTGAAAGGCATGCAGGTAGTTGTTATGACGTAGGCGTCCGCTAAGAAAGGATTTTACGAAACTCCACCCCTAAGGAGGTAAAACGGGATCCACGCGTACGAAGTCGCGGGCGGCCGCTAGTCACAGATATAAGCGCACTTAATGCCATTCGGCATTCTCCTCCAGTTAACCTATTTTGTCGTCTTAACATAGAAGTTTTGTGTTTTAAAAAGGGGATAGATTTATTTTATAATATTAATTTCAACTTGAAACCTTTAAGGTAATCCTTTTTCATTTGAGGAGGGACTTTAAAACTAAGAAACTAATTAATAGTAACTCATTTGTCTTCTCCGAAACAAATGTTAATTAATATTTAATCAGATGTAGACATAATATTATAAATTTAAATCGTTTGATTACATAGTTTATTTGGTTTACAAAATTTTATCACTCTTCTATAAAAGAAACATATCTCAAGTACGCACATTAGTTTAGTCCTACTTCAAGGCAAAAATAGGTGAGATTTTATTACTCTTTTAAAACATTGAAATTTTTTATCTACATTATGTATGTACTGTATTTCAAATAGTTATGTCACCCACACATTATTTCTTTCGCCCAATTTAGTATTTAATTCTGATTAACTGCTTCCCACTGTTAGTAGCTCATTTTACGTATTTTTAGTCATTAATTAATATCGCCAGTTAAGTTAATTTTTCGCAAATAATTTAACACCGCCCAGTTTAGTAATGAATCTGCGATTATATCTCATTAACCGTCATCCATATGGTATATTTTATTCGCCTGGTTATATTTAGTTATTATTTTCCTTTTTTATTACAGTCATGGACGCAGCTACGGGTATAACGACAGTGCAGACTTTGCAGTCCGCTTTGAGTGTCCTAACAGCGCTGCAAATTACGTCCTTCGAATACCCGGCAACTGCTAGCTTTGACAGTATGTATCACTATAATGAGGACCCTATATCATTACATATTATTATTATTATAAAACAAAGTCGCTTTCCTGTGTCTGTCTGTCCCCATGTAGGTATACTTAGATTTTGAAAAGTACGCAACGGATTTTGATGTGTTATTTTTAATAGATAGAGTTATTCAAGAGGAAGACTTATATGTATAAAACATGCATTATTATAGAAGAGAAAATCCGGGAAATTCCATTGCAATCGTGCGAAGCCGGGGCGGGCTGCTAGTTATATCACGATAGGCGCCAATGGTGTCCATATGGATCATAAGGACACCTTTGGTGCCACCATGGTGTCTTGGTAAAAACTTGGTAGTCGAGGTGACGTCCACCATTAATACTAAACGCAGTTTAACTTACATCGTGCTCAAGCTCGACATATAGGTACGTATGGACTATGGCACGTTATACAAGTTTGCTACCACTTGCCACAACTGAAAATTATCTTATTATTAATATGCGTCAATAAACTGAAAACATTCACACAATGACGATGGTCTGTAACTAAAGTCGTTTATTTGTGAAAACCACCCTAAATGTGTAGATCTGTCAAATGAAATTGATACAAATGTTTCTTCCAGTCGACCTGAAATTCGACTATGTGGTGGTGGGAGGAGGAACGGCTGGGAGTGTGATGGCTGCGAGACTGAGTGAGAACCCTCAGGTCACAGTCGCTTTGATAGAGGCAGGAGGCGACCCTCCTTTAGAAGCAGAGGTAAACTTGTCTTTAGCACGACCAGTGTACTTGTCTTCATCATTATCATTTCAGCCATAGGACGTCCACTGCAGAACTGAGGCCTCCCCTAATGATTTTCAGAGTGACCGCTTGGTAGCGGCCTGCATCCAGCGCCTTCCTGCTAAGTACTTATGAGGTTTCTGAACATCTTGTGGGTGAACGTCCTACGCTGCCTACAATTACCTTGTATCTACATCTACTCCACTGGCAGTTGCAGCGTGGGATATCCACCCACATAATAGACAGATGATCTTATAAAAATAACAGGAAAGCTCTGGCTGCAGGCCGCTTCTAACTGACAAATCTGGAAATTATTGGAGGAGACTGATGATGATGATGACATGCCCATAACAATCCATGCAAGCTGCTACTCTATTTACTTGCCTCTTAGTCAGACAGAAGAATACAAAAAACCTACCTATTCTTTCAGTTGCCCGGCCTGTTTGCTCTGGAGCCGAAGATGACCTACGACTACGACTTTCTCGCTGAAAACGATAACTTGACGAACCAACACACCCTGGACAAAGCCGCACGGCTGACATCCGGCAAACTCCTCGGAGGAACTACCTCAATGATGCACGCCCCATACCTAAGAGGAAACCCGCTGGACTTCAACCGCTGGGCCGAAGCAGCTGGTGACGACTCTTGGAACTACGACAATCTCCTCAAATACTTCATCAAACTGGAAAGGCTAGAAGACCGTGACATCTTACACTCCAAAACAGGCAGCCTTCACGGGACCAAAGGACCAGTCGGCCTGACCAGGGAACCCAATGAACTGAACAACAACTACTTCAAATCGATGGAAGAAATCGGATTGAAATACGCCCTTGATATCAGCGGCAACTCAACTCGTGGGGTCACTGATCCTCTCCTCATGATCTCAGGTGGAAGGAAGCAGCACACCGCCAAGACCTACCTCAGCCCTGCTAAGGATCGGCAAAACTTATACGTTTACAAAAGTACAGTCGTCACTAAAATTATTTTCGATGACAACAGTACAGCTACCGGCGTGGAAGCTCTTACGTCTGATAACGAAACGGTAACCTTCCAAGTGAATAAAGAAGTCATCGTCTCAGCCGGTGCGATCAGGTCTCCTCAACTGTTGATGCTGTCAGGCGTCGGACCACAGGATCAGCTCGAAAAGTTCAACATTTCAGTCGTATCTGACTTGCCTGTTGGCCAGACCCTGCGCGACCGTGTTGCTGTGCCCCTAGCATACAAGATGCAGGCTTCCAACGTGACAATCCCAGCCTCGAATTACTTCAAGTTCCCTAACCCAGTCACAGTGGGTTTCAAAGCCCTGAACGAGTCACAGTCCCAGCCTGACTTCCAGGTCATCACTCTTGTCTTCCCTCACGACCAGTCCACAGGCTTATCTATGATTTCTTCATTCGTCTTCAAATACGAGAACGCAATAACTGATGCTATAATTGATGCTAATACGGGTCACGAACTCTTCATGGCTTTCATTGGAAATGGACACCCTCAATCTACTGGTCAGTTATTGCTAAAAAGCACGGATCCTTTAGAACAGCCTGAGATTAATTTGGGTCTCTTCAGCACTGCGTCTGATATAGATGATATGGGTGCATACCTGGAGTACTTTGCACAGATTGGAGAGACCTCTCACTTCAAGAACGTTAGTGCTGAGCTGGTGGAATTTGATTTGCCTGAGTGCAGCAACTACACGACTGGTTCTTCGGACTACTGGAAGTGTTATGCTACAAGCATGTCGGTGACTTTCTGGCAGTATATGAGTACTTGTTCCCTGGGGTCTGTGGTGGACTCTGAACTGAAGGTGAAGGGAGTCCAGAACTTGAGGGTGGTGGATGCGAGTGTCCTGCCATACTTCACTTCTGGAGAGCCTGTGCCAGCTATTATTGCTGTTGCTGAAAAAGCGGCTGATTTGATCAGACGAAGCCAGTAAAAGTGGAGTCGTTGAGTGTTTTCTTGTTATTTTTTCCTTTATTTTTGTTATTGTTATCTTTACAATAGTGTGAGTAATTAAGTTCCGTGAATTTTTTAAATCAACTGATACAAATAAGCAATGCCTGTTAACTAGTTTTTTTAATTAAATTTTATCTTAAAACTAAAACGTGAGTTTTGTTATTGTATTATTTTATCTAAATTTATTCGGAACGTGTAGGGAAAATTTGTCTTTAGCTCTCAGTGCTGATTAAAAATGAAAGAGATACAGAGGCATCGGATCTTTCAGCGATTACTGCAACAGGTTACACAATGTGGATATTTGTCACTGTGACGCAACTTTATACGGGGTGTATGAAAGCTCATGTTACTCACTTTCATGTTACTCAGGAAAATGCATGTCGTTCCTTGTTTGGAGTATAAATGCCTCTTTTATAGGCCTCCCTCAAGGATTTCCACAACGGCCTTCCTGCGTTGCCCGCATCCAGGTACTTCCCGCAAACTTCACCAGATCGTCCGTCCATCTAGTAGCCAGCCTGTGGTCGCCAATCGAGAACTTTTCTGCCGAATAGCCAACAGCTCTACACATCATCATCATTAACATTTCATCCACAGGGCGTCCACTGCTGAACATAGGCCTCCCCCAATGACTTCCGCATCGCACGTTTGGTAGCGGCCTGCATCCAACGCCTTTCTGCTATCTTTATCAGGTCGTCGGTCCACCTTGTGGGTGGACGTCTCACGCTGCGTTTTCCGGTAGCATCTACACACCCTATATCTTTCTAAAATCATACATTCTGCCAAAGCCTTCAACACATTTTGCGCAAATATTTTCAAAGTTTAAAATTTGAGATCCGATTCAAACTCCGGTATCGATGGATATCTCGCGATTACGTCAAATAAATCGATTCTAATGCTGGAACTCGCGGGATTACTCGTGTTAAACTCACCATTTCTAGTTTATTTTCAACCGACTTCAAAAAAAGGAGGAGGTTCTCAATTCGACCCGTATGTTTTTTTGTAAATATCTTTTCGAGCATCGGTATGAATATGAAATCGATTGTAATAGTGGCGATCGCTTGTACCTATATTCGTTTCAGCTGAAAATAAAATGTCTAAAAAGATTTTGCTGTGATGAAAAGGGACTAAAAATAGTGTTCAATCTAAAAACGATTAAAAAAAGGAGAAGGGGAGAGAAACGAACTATTTAATTTAATTAAATAATAAGTAATAAAAATAGTAATTAGACGACGTAAATATACATAGGTATGTACATTTAGAAAGGTATACCTACCACCAAAGGTGCCATCTACTATTGGTACCTACTTAGTTAGTCTGGAAATAACGAATAAGTAAAAGAATCAAAAAATGGTTTAGGACAAATAGTTTTTGACTTTTATAAAATACTAGCGGCCGCCCGCGACTTCGTTTGCAAATTTCGCCGTAAAAACCATCCTTGGACTTCAAAGAACATTAGGTAAAAAAAGAATTGGTAAAATTGGTCCAGGCGTTGTTGAGTTATGCGCTTACGAGTACCAAAACATTTTGCGATTCGTTTTTATTGAATGCTTGGGCTGGGTTGTCTTGCACCATCTTACTACTTTAACAAACGTCAAAAATCTGTCAAACTCCATACAAAAACACCGGTGAATGTTACGGTCTTGACTTAGGTGGTGCATCTTAGCCTTAGAATGTCTCATAGGGTTTGTCGTCGTAATTTAGTTTGTGACTTTCAATCGAGTTTGTGTAGTAACGTTTTGAATGAATAGTCGGACTCGGCGGCCATAACTCAGCCGCGACTGCTATCTGCCAGATAGCCGGATCATACTTTTGTTTGCAACTTGCCTTTATCTCCTGATAAAATATCCCGTTAATAACAGATAGATAGACGCGGATTCATCTGTTTCTTTATGTAATTAATGGTAAAATTGGAGAAAGAAAAAAGTTTATTTGGTTCATTTCACCTAAGGTACAAAGGTAAGTAATTGAATCAAAGTGGCAACCACGTCGCACTACAGCAGCAACGTCCTAGGGCAAAACAGGGTACCTATAGTTGTTGCAATTCACGAAGGCGAGTGAGCTTTACAAGTGTGGTGGCTCGCTACTGTATGTTTTTCAAAAGTTTTGACAGACATTACACTATCGTTATGTGCATGTACACGTACACACATAAGTAAAGCTCTTCGTGAGTTGCAAGAACTATACGGAATCCAAACCATAACGCTGATATTTTATCAGACTTTTTCATGTTAAAGCAACTCTGATATCAGACTCAATAAGCAGCGACTGATGACGATCAAGCTACCTTTCTGCTTCTTAATGCTTCAGCTCTTACTTGAAAAGTTATGGTTTCAGAATTTAAATTATCTGGCACTGAAAATGACCTGACGATCAAAATTTAAAAGACAAAAGTTAGTTTTTTAGGCTGTATTTTTAATCCATGTTAGTTGTGGTACTTCATTCAATACGCACCTTATATTTCAATCTCTATCTTCAAACTAAACTTAATTTGAATAAAAAATGTAATGAAATTAATAATTATGGTTATTTTTACCTTCCTACCTTCACCCAGTATCAATTTACATTTACGGAACTTTTATTGTGTAAAGCTTAGCCGATATAAAAACGAAGTACCGCGTACCAATACCGTATCGATTCCACCAAATGAAACGTTATGTGGGAAGGCACTCCGCATCATTGGAAGCGATTGTACTCTGGCGATGGGCGATGTCATAGTGGAGAGGCTAAAGGTTTGCAACCACTGGAAGAGTAAAAATTGAGTTTATTTTAAAACCATTTTGGGAATATATTGTTTTAAACTTTCATGGTCACTAACATTAGAATAAATAAATAAGGAACAGGGTAACAATCCCGTCAATAATTATTTTTTTGGGAATACCTATCGCTACTATTTTATGAAAAGTCGGGGCTCAATAGTCAAGAATGTTATTGCATTTATTACTCCATAACTACGAGTATTAATTTACTTTCCTCCATTTGTCTGATAAATTAGAGGTTCGAGCAGGAGGGACTAAATGGGAACCTGATGATGTTTATGCTAGTTTAATATAAATGTTACGGTTAATGTGATAAATTGAAAATTATTAATAATAACCGGTTATTATGAATAATTACCGACAGTCGCGGTAAAAGTGATAAATAAATCTCATTTAACAGTGATTATTTAATAATTCAACCTTAGTACTAACAAATTTCATAAAAGAGAACAACATCTTGTGTACGTGCTCGTGTACAGCCAAACTTTTGAACGTTTTGATATCATATATTAATATAATTTGGCATAATGAGTTTGGAATGTTTCTTGCATAATATTACTTTTCCATGATGCCTATAACATAATGTTTTGATTTAAAGTGAAAAATAGGTTAAGGTGCGGCGGGGGGGGGCCCTTGGCCACCCCTAAGCCGCCTATTTTGTTTTATACACACATAAATGACCTCATATTAATCACATTAACCAAATCTTGCGGTAATTATTCATAATAACCGGCGATTATTCATAATTTTCACATTTATCACTTTGACCGTAACATAAACATAGAAATCCTAAATATAAAAAAATGGGTTATTTTTTTATTTGGTTGGTCCGTAGGCGGATAAGACGAATAGATATGTGCTCGATAGACAGACAGAATGGTAAATGTTCTGCCTTGGATGTTCTTAATATGAATACGCAAAAAAAAATCAAATCAACTGAGTTAAATGTAAAAAATATGTATGTTGTAGTTATAGCATTGTTATGGACTACAATCCTCCAATGTTATATCTTTATAGTAATCCTTATTTATTATTTACGAGTATATCCTGCCTTTATATGATATTGGTGAAAAGTGCTACAGTATTTTTGCCCAACTTCGTCACCTGCATAGAAGACCAGAGCACAGAAAGATCAGTGTGTTTCTGTATCAGATGATATTATTTTTTATTTTTTGCATGTCGATGGATTCTATCATTTTATCATGTTCTTTAGTCTCCACAGCAGTACGGCTAGCACGAAAAACTTTCGAGTTCGAATCGATTGCGTATTCGAATCGCCAAATTAATTACAACTGCGCCCTTGTGAACGTGTCGTAAAGTGAACTTAGTATGAGAAATGGTTGCACGAAACTTATTTTGAGAATCAATCAATTGTCACGTTATTGTATAATTCGAAGGTTAAGTATCGAGTTTTGTCAAATACGCATACGAATCGAAGACGAAAGTTGTGCATGCTAGAGGTACAGGAGCATGACCCTGTCTAGTTCAACAGAATCAAATAAAATGGAGGAAGAGGATCTCCAGAAAAAATCCAGATATAAAGGATTTCAGGTTTTTCTCCTTTATTTTTCACACTTCTTAGGTGATGGTAAAGTCGCCTAGATGTAAAAGTGCTCTAACAGTAAACAGGAATGGTCTGTGGATAATATTTTTCAATCAATAAATCAGTCAAAAGGCTCATCTGTGTTTTATACAATGACTAGCGGCCGCCTGCGACTTCGTACGCGTGGATCCCGTTTTACCCTTTTAGGGGTGGAGTTTCGTAAAATCCGTTCTTAGGGAGCACCTACGTTCTAAAGCGCACTCCCATGCAAACTTTGAGACTCCTAGCAGGAACCCCCATGCATTTGAGACTCTTAGCACTTGTAGTTTCTGAGATTTTGTGATGAGTGAGTCAGTCAATCAGTGACCTTTCGCTTTTATAAATATAGATAGATAATAATACTCAATAGCTAGTCTGTTTCGTTTTAAATTCGACATTACCCTAAAGTTTACTAATAACCTCATTATTTGGGACTTACAATATATTATTCATCCCAACTATCCCAAGGGACTTATAATAATTTCCAGCCATTATCAAGTTGAGTCCAATCAGTAAATTAGATCTCACCATTAGGTAATCAGGGAGCTAACTGCGCTTGCCGGGCACCGAACTAACGACCCGTCTGGATTACAGAATATTCATGATAGGCGTTATTACGTGGGCGGTCTTAGGGCTTGCAGACATGACCCGTTTAGGTCTTAAGATAATAAGACTGCAAGCCTCGTATTGTATCGAAACCCTAGCAGGAATCTACATAAATCTGATTTCAGCCCGTTATTTGTCAACGTATTGA